TGAGCTCTTGTAAGAGCTTGTTCCTGCTTCGTTCTGAAGGGAGATAGCTGCAGCCTGCAGTGCTTATGGTGTCTGGTGGAGTGCTTGGAGTCCTCTGGAAGCGCTAGGAGCATCTTTCAACGGAGGTACCCAGTCGGGGTGCCAGGTGATCCGTTACAGTATGGTTCCTATTCAACTGTCTACAGCATTCATATGCTTGAGCGAAGGTATACGCTTCTCTGGTTCGGTGATTGTGGCGTCTGCTGCAGTGCTTGGAGTCCTCAGGAAGCGCTAGGAGCATCTTTCAACGGAGGTACCCAGTCGGGGTGCCAGGCGATCCGTTACAGACATACCTAACAAAAAGGATCCTTACATTTGTGTGACTGGAGTTTGGGGACATCATTGTAGTTCATGGAAAGCTGCCAGGTGGAACACGGGTAGACCATGGGGCTACAGACCCCAGATTGCATTGGACAGACTTGACAAAGACGGGAAACCTCTACTCTCTAGAATGACCCTGAGTAAACCCATAGGGTCAACTCCCATTAAACTTACTTTGAATATAGAGCACCCCAGCCCAAAGGATGCAGGGGAATATGTAATGGGAATGTACTGGAAGGGAGGTGGCTCACATAATACACTGGGGACATTTTATCTACAAGACATGCTCACCTCACCAGACTGGGTAGGAACTACTCACATGACTATTAACCCGTTAAAACCACATATTAAGACTCTACATGACATGGTAGCTATAGCCAACCCCACCTTTGAAGACACTATGGCAGTGGAGACTGGGTTTTCAGACACTAATTTGTGGCTAGAATGGATGAGGTATAATGCCAACTCACACAATAAGACTAATTGCCAGGCCCCATCTGGGCACAGTACCTCTAAGTTTACCTCCTGAAGTAGAACTATGTGTTTTAAGTCTCTATGCACAGTCTTCCACAAATTCCTCAACATGTGAATCATGGAAGAGAGTTTACCCAATCACTCATGGATATGTCAAGCCACCTGATGGAGTCACAGTCTATCCAGGTAATTACACATGCTATTCAATACCTAAGAACACTGGTGTATATCTGGGCAAATTCCCATCAGGATATTGCTCAACTTACCATATTGCTGTAACTTACCATAGTCCACCTGTATCACTGTTAATGAATCATACAAAGACAATCGGTGATATTTATTGGTTATGTGGTGACAGACAATTGAGGCCCCAACTAGCTGGGCAATGGTGGGGGGAGTGTGCCCTAACCAAAGTTATAATGCCTATCCACATTATTCCAGATGGTAGTCATAACACACTAAACCTTACACACGTACATTCTAGAACCAAGCGAGAGGCTCCCATCCGAGGGAGCTTCGACCCCCATGTGTATATTGATGCCATTGGTGTGCCAAGGGGGGTGCCTAACGAATTCAAAGCAAGGGATGAAGTGGCAGCAGGATTTGAATCCTTGATCCCAATGATAACTGCTAATAAGAATGTCAATTGGATTAATTACATCTATTATAATCAGCAGCGCTTTGTTAATTACACAAGGGATGCCCTACAGGGCCTGGCAGAACAATTACAAGCCACTACCCAAATGACATTTCAGAACAGAATGGCCCTAGATATGATTTTAGCTGAAAAAGGGGGTGTATGTAAGATCCTCCCTGAAACTATGACGTGCTGCACGTTCATTCCAGACAACACTGGGCCCAATGGTAAGGTAACTATGGCCATAGAGAAGCTAGATAGTCTTTCTGATGAGCTAAAGAAAAATTCGGGAGTCACTGACACTTGGGACAGATGGTTTGGGTGGATGAATGGTTGGCAAAGGAACCTCTTCCAGGTAGGAACGGCTGTTCTTATAATGATTATCATCTTCTTATTCCTAACCTGTTGTGTGCTCCCTTGCATAAAGAAGTACTTACAGAAAGCAGTAGGGAAGACTATAGATGACGTGACCCCTACTTTCCTACACCAAGACATCACAGACCTCGAAGATGACACTCCACATACACCCCTCCAATCACATCAGTTTAAAACAGACAACTGCATTTCAGTAGGGATAGTGTAGGGAAAGCGTCTGCCTTTACAGGCAAGTCTCACGTGCGGAGATGTGGTGGACTAGCTAATGCGGGTTACCCACGGAGTGAAGAGTTCGATGCTTGTGAAGGCAGATGAGCTGCAGGCAGCTAGGAATACACTAGGGACAGTGGCAGTTGTCATGGTAAATAGCCATTTTAAGGGGGACGGTTGTGGACATAAGGTCTGCACATATTTCCTAGTTAGTGAAAATGTCTATTTACTCATTCCACGATATATCATATATAAAGCTATACACACGTGCTCTAATCAAGATGACTGCTAGAAGCTTCTAACCCCCTCCTTCCCCTGCCCCTTTAACACCAACTAACTACCTCGTGCAGCAAGATGGTGCCGGGAAACCGTGGGAGACCCTCATGGTCCTGGTGACATCACCCTCAGTAGGCAGAGCATTAGGAAGACCACTTAACACCTAACCAATAATTGATGTGTTATTCCATGTTATCTCTGACAATGCTTATGATGTAATTTTGCTTTAAAAGGGACTTGCCATCCCCTCTGAATAAACATTCCTCAAGTTATTCAACAACCTGTGTCTGGTGTGAATTACTTCAGGGAGCGTGCACGCACTGTTTCATTGATTTGGCCAGGGGCAGATACACAAAGAAATAATCAATACCTTTGATTGATTTTTCCATTTCAACTTCATTTACCACTAAAACTCCAATCAAACCCTTAAATACCGCTGGTACGGGCAACACAGTCTACATCATTCCCACACAGTCCACACTCACTATATTACCCTTTTCTTTTATTTTACCCGTTTCAGGCTGTCCAGGTTTATTTCACCACACAAATTCGCTGTGAGATATTCATACTACCAGGTACGTACGCCTGCTCATATGGTATTCTGCCATACATTTCATTTCTCCCCCCTAGGTTAGAGTACTCGCAATAGGATCAAAGGCTCCCCAATATGTATTTACCCCTTCTTGACATCTGCCATCAGTTAGTGGTCCCACGAGGCCAACACCCCGCCTCAATGTTTCGGAGGCAAACACCCATCGGGCCACACGTGAGCTAGTCGCCTCGCATGTCACATAGAGAGGGCCTCACCTGTCACTCCCTTTCCCTGTTTTTCTGTGTTACAGTCACCGAGAGGCCTACAATCCTGCCACTACAACGAGTGGCCTCAAATCCCCTCGCGCCAACACATAGATAGAGCCTCTCAAGCCACTTGGCAACTAGTAGGGCCTCACCTGTCACCATCCGGCTTAGCTAGCCTGCCAGTACGATCTTGGTGGTTTTCATACACTAATTAATTGTTTCAGGAAGGGGTAGAGGGCTTTTCCCTGACTAGCACTCCGGCTAGAGCTATCACTCCTACACAAGGAGGAGAGGTAACTAGTCCAGCATTGATCAGATCCTGGATGATTCCTTGTATAACTACGGAATTGAGGAGACGGCAAATCCCCTACCCCGCTACAGCAAGGAAAGCAGAACTTTTCAAACTGCTACGTACTTCAACTGACAACATGGATGCCGGGGAAGGACCTAGCCAATCCAGCCCAGGAGACATACATTCCATGTTGTCATCACTCATGGCGTCCATGAGCAAGGTCAACTCCAGGCTGGAGAAACTTGATTCGGTCACCACGGCCCTTACTCTAGCAGGGCCACCCGCTGCTGCTTCACAAGCACCAGCCGACTTACTATTAGTTGCTCCAGCCATCACCCAGGTTGACCAGGAAGTTAGCCTTGCTTATATGATCCCTGAGCACATAAAAAGAGATATCCTGGAAGGTAAAGACGTCAACCTGGCTTCTCTACTGATTGCCTCCCAGGATATTGTGGAGAATAAGACTTATGCTTATGATTATGTGTCTGTTGTTGTCAGATGTAGGGACACCCACCTAAACAGGAAACTGACTATTGCCGAGTTTGTATTGGCTTTTGGTATTTACCGGGATGTCATCTGTGCCATCTATCCCAATAGACGAGAGGAGTTTGATCTTTATATGCACAAGATGGTAGACCTGGGCAACAAATATGGTGGTTCAGCCTTTTATGACTACCATAGGTCTTTTTCTGCAAAAGTGTCTGGAGCCTTCTCCCAGTATGGAACAAGATCCAACTGGGGAAGGATTGATACCGTCATATTTTGCAGACACTTTGTAGGTCTAATAACACTGGCTTGTGCATATTGCTCCTCTACGGCACATATGACAAATTTCTGTCCCAACACGGCGGACGAACATGCCTCCACGCAAGGAGCTAGTTCCTCTGGTCTTCCAGAGAAATTGACCAGAGACAAACTGGGACGCCCAATCAAGTTTCTGGGCAAGTCCCAGATTTGTAATAATTTCAATGTTGGGTCTTGTAATTATAGCGGTTGCAGATTATTGCATATCTGTTTAAAATGTTTTAGGGCACATGCAAAAACCATGTGTCCAAATAAAATGTACTCTAAGCCTTACCTAACGTCCATAAATATTTCGGTATTTACAGCATTTCAGTCACATCACCCATCTAAACACTTGGTAGACTTTCTTATCTCTGGTTTAACAGAAGGCTTCCACATGGGTATTCTACACATACCGTCCGGGATTCCGGAATGCCCTAATCTACAATCAGCACCACATAACCACACAGCTGTTGACACTCTCATTGCCCAAGAAGTAGCTTAGGGGTTCTTATTGGGGCCTTTCAAGGCTCCTCCGTTCAAAGAATGGCGCACTAACCCCATTGGTATTGTCACAGGGAAATCTTCCCTTAAACAGAGACTCATCATTGACCTATCTGCACCACACTCTTCGGCTAACCCCAGTCTTAATTCCCTCATACCCTCCGAAGAATTATCACTGCAATACACCACCATAGACCACACCATTACAGCTATCATACAAGCAGGGGTCGAAGCATGGCTTAGTAAGACCGATATTACTAATGTAGGAAATTGGCATTCCGTGAGATGTTTGTTTGTCACATACTAGTTTTCTTAACAAATCGAATCAAGTATCTTGCAGTTAAAACTTATGTTTATTCAAACATACACATCATCCGGTAATAACATATAGTCATTAACGGTCTTTGTCCAATACAGAGCAATGTTCAAGATGTTATCCATTTTTGATGTTAAAGGTATTGGCCACGAATTCTAAGCTACGATCAGTTTTATAGGTTTAAAATTCAATTACCGAGGGGCGTATACATAAGATTGCCTTACTTTAAAATATGTGGCTATCTTAGAAAGAGGGGAGGGAATCTATGATTAAAGCCATACGTTATATTTGGCAGTAAGCTACACAAAGGTTCTATATGCATGGTAAATGAATAGATGCCTTTAGAAATATGAGCCTTGGTAATACAGAGGGAGACTGGCTAGCAAAGCTTAGGTCAAAGGTTACTATAAACAGGCCCTTCATCTATCACTCTTAAAGTGAACCAGATGTGGTCTCCATTCCTATACAATGAAAGTCTGTAATACTGTAGGACTAGGTATGGCTTCTCAATTTCAGTGTTCTGGAAGTAATCTGAATAAAACTTATAATATTTATATCAACACATTAAATATTTAATAGTTCATAAAATATATTTCAACTAATGCCTTTAAATTGCTGCCAATCCACCCCACACTGTGGCACCTGTATGGCATCAAGTGGTCCGGGAACTACTATTTTTTCTCCTGTTTAACTTTTGGGTCCAAAAGTAGCCCAGCTATTTTCGACACATTTGCCGAAGCATTGTGCTGGTTACTATTGAACATAGCCAGATGCCCTACTGTATTACACTACCTGGATGATTTCTTACTGGTCGAGGAGCATACTCCCCCTCCCAGTAACCTCAAAGCTACCACCAAGCTATTTGAGCAGCTAGGTGTCCCAATGTCCCCTAAGAAAACGGAGGGGCCAGACACGATTATCACATTCCTGGGTATTCAATTAGACTCAACCACAATGCAAGCAAGCCTGCCACATGACAAGATAGAGAACATTCTTACCTACATCGACCACTACCTTCAGCTCGGTACCTGCAACCGCAAAGAACTACAGTCCCTGCAGGGTTCACTAAATTTTGCCATGTGTATCATACCTCAAGGCCGCTCCTTCATATCACGCCTCCTGTATCTTTTTCCACTCTTCCTACATGACACACACAGGTTGTCCTTAGATACTCAAGCTACGGCAGACTTACGCATGTGGAAGGAATTTTTAACCACTTGGAATGGTAAAAGTATGTTCCTCCCTCAATTGACTGACTCATCACCTACCATTTGGTCAGATGCGGCATCTACCACAGGTTTTGCAGCAATTTTTGTGAACGAATGGCTTTGGGGAAGCTGGCCTACAGCAGTTCAGGATTTGGAAGGTTTTTCCACTACCTCAGCTCTCTTTGAGATCTATCCCATTGTGGCGGCTGCCGTAGCATTTATGGGCAAACATGCCAGTACATTGCTACTCAGATAACCAGGCAACCTGTCACATCATCAACAAAGGTCATTTCAAATCCCTTTCAATCATGAGATTTCTGAGAAAACTTACTTGGTTGGCGGCCTGTCATAATTTCTTTCTGTATTGTTTCCATGTTCCAGGTATATGTAACACAGCTGCTGACAGTTTGTCTCGTTTTAAATTTCAGGCATTTCATCAAGCACTCCCGTCAGCTGCGCTCACAGCCACCACTACTCCAACATTTCAACAACTAATACTGGACTAGACACCATCATGTACCATAGCAGGGCACTGTCCCAATTGGCACTGTCAAAAAATATGCACAAAACATACAACAGGGCTTTTGCATTATTCAAAAGATTCCTTTTGGAACATAACATCATGCAACCTTTTGTCATGACATCTTTTTTGGGTTTTGCTTCTTTTTGCCACCTTAAACTTAAAATGTCATACAACACCATCAAACTTTATCTCACAGGCATTCAACACCATATGCTAATCTTACAACCAAACAACACAAGTTTCATGGCATCTCACCAGATCAAGACCATACTCAGAGGCATTCAGAGATCTGAACCCACACGTACATCACAGAGGCTACCCATAGACAACCATATCTTCAAAGCATTATCTAACCTGCTTGATTTAAAACCTTTTGACACCAACACAAATTCTGTCATCAAAGCAGCAATATACATAGCTTTCTATGGATTCCTAAGACCTAGAGAATTCACTACAACCAACGTGACACAATCTACTCCTATTCTCCTCTATTTCCACTTAACAAAACACATGGATCATTACATCCTGACTCTACCTCACTCCAAAACCAGTCAGCATGCACCAGTACAAATAACATACTATCCCACGCACAACAGGTATTGCCCCGTCAAGATTATTGATGCATACATACAACATCATAATTTACTACCATCACAACCATTATTCCTATTACAAAGTTCGGTACTCACCACTACAACCTTCATGACCTACGTCAGGTCTTTACTCACTCAACTGGGCCTCAACGCAGCTAACTACTCAGGGCACTCCTTCCGCACAGGGGCGGCATCCACAGCCTCCAGTGTCAACATTCCAGTTCATGTTATAAAAACACTGGGGCGCTGGAAATCATCCGCCTACTCACGGTACATACCGAACCCAGTACAAGAATTAAGGGATGCTTTCAAAAACATGTCTGGTTGATATATGTATCTGTATTGGTTGTCTGTAATAAATTTGATTACTTAATTTTTGCCCTGTTCTTTCTCAGGCCTACCTCATTGCCGGTTCAGGCACACCAAAACCGACTTGCTCTTTTTACTATCCTACATTTCATTATGGTATTTTACTCTGTACTATCATGAGCACCTAACACAAATATATATATATATATATATATATATATCTCACTACAGCTCCTTGATAAGCACACAATGAAACCCCAATAAACATATACTTACAATACAGGCCCTTTCAGCACACACACATTTTCTCACACATTCACAAATTGCTATTTTTATTTTAATTTAAATCCACCCAGTCTTTGTGAGAGCTGAGTGGATTTTTCCCTGGCGTCCAGTGTCTCCTCTCAGTCTTCCTGCAGTTCTCTCTGCTCCTATGCGCACTCCCTATGCGCACTCTCTGTAGTGATGCCGAGGGCAGAGTGATGTCATGTCACTAAACAGCACGCAAGGGAGCAGAGAGGAACTGCAGGAAGGTTACTGCTCCCTCACGCGTCATCTCCATGCTCCCCGTGTGGCCTGCTCTAATGTTTCCTGCGCGGCTTAGCAAAGGGCTAAAAAATGGCAGGCGCCAGGGCGAAATGTCTAGTACCCATGGCGACCTAGCGCCTGGACTTTGTCAAGCCCTGTGTATGTATGTATGTATACATATATACACACACTTTTTATAACTGCCCCCCTTCTTTTGTCCCTGGCCTCTTATGTGGCCCCCCATAAGTATGGATCCTGGAGACGCCGCTGGAGGTGCTTCTGCGACCCTGGATGCGAAAATCGCATTCAGGATGCAGAACGTCCATAGGAAAGCATTGAGAAATGCTTTCCTATGGACTGTTTGAATGCACGCGCAGCTCTTGCCACGCATGTGCATTCCGCTCCACTTGGGCGCTGACGTCGGCGGGGAAGGAGAGGTCACCAGCGCAGAGGGAGCCCGGCGCTGGATAAAGGTAAGTAGCTGAAGAGGTTTAACACCTTCAGCCCAGCGAGAAGGGGACCCTTAGGGTGGGGGGACCTAAGGGTTATATAGTGTCAGGAACACAAGTTTGTTTTCCTGACACTATAGTGATCCTTTAAGTTTTAACCCCTTAAGGACACAGCTTCTGAAGCTTGTCTTACGCTTAATGACACAAGCAATTTTTTAATTTTTTTGTTGTTTGCATTCAACTGCAATTTGCATTTTACGAATTTATTGCACCAACACATATTATATATAGTGATGTCGCGAACCGTTGAAGGCAGCTTCAACATGGATGCTGTCCAGGAGGTGGGAGGATCTGGGAGGGAGGGTCTGCTGGAGATTGGCCGGGATGTGTCAGCTGACCGGAGCTCGTCGCGAACGGTTCGTGGCGAACCGCGGCGAGCCGTTCGCGGGAAGTTGTGAACGGTTCGCGACATCACTAATTATATACTGTTTTTTACAGAAAGGGCTTTAATTTGATGTAACATATATAAATATATATATATATATGCTTATTTATTATTAAAAAAAATAGAGAAAAATTCAAAAAAAGAAACATTTTGTGTTTTTTTACAGTTTTTGCAAAAATAATGTGTGCATAACTGTAACGGATGCCCTGGCACCCTGACTTGGTACTTCCGTTGAAGGATGCTCCTAGCGCTTACAGAGGGCTCCAAGTGCTCCGCAGACACCACAACCATTGCAGACTCCACGAACCGCCGCAGCTTGGTTGGGGTCTCGCCGTCTCCTACCCACCCTGGACCTACGACAAGGCTCCAGGTTCCAGTGGGTGAACCTCTCCTCCAAAAGTGTGAAGCAGGAACAAGCTCTTAAAAGAGCTTAGTAGTGATTATCCAAGGGAGCATGCAGAGCATAGCAATCCCTTGCAGTGATATAGCAATTCCCCCAGTAAGAGACAGGACTCTAGATTGAGGGTGAAGAAGAACTCTGGTTTCACGACACACAGCCTGAGAGGTAACCCAATTATCTGTACATTTTAAACATACTTTTTACCCAACTTTCATAACTCCAAAACTATACATTCAATCTTCATAAAAAAACACATATTATTAATCAGCATACTTGAAATATAAACATACTCAAAAATTATGCAAATCCTTGCATTAGTTCAAAAGTTAGTCGGAAGTCCTTTGTGACCAACCGCAGGCACATTTTCCTGCCCCAAAAAAGTTCCATAGATTTGGGCTGTGCAGTCGGTCAATTTCACACTGAAAAAATGATTAAGTCCCATTCGAACGTGTGTTCGAATCTTCGAACGGGACTTAGTACCAGCCTCGCCACAGGGCTTTGGAGAAGACTGATTGCCAGCCTCCTGCAATGTGATTAAGGCCCCTGGGATGTATTGCCTGTTCTCCTGTACTGCTGAGGATTGCTACCAACTAGGTGGATTTGGCTATGGAGCTTGTCTAGTGCCCTCTGTTGGTAGCAACAGCAATATGCACTACCTGAATAGCAAGACTGGTTCATTTGCATATTCGGGTAGATTTGCATATTGCTAATTCTGCAGACACGTGAGATATTTTCTGTTAATTATTGTCTCCTCCACCTCTTTCAAAATATGCCATTGTGTTATAATAAGTCACTGTATTTGACTGTTTGTAATTTTATTGAGTTTTCACAGCAATGTTAATGTAATGGCCATATGGGCTAGTCCAAAGGAAAAAGTTTTAGACCTCAATCTAGAGTCCTGTCTATTATTGGGGGAATTGCTATGCTTTGCATGTTCCCTTGGATAATCACTTCTAAGCTCTTTTAACAGATTGTTCCTGTCTTGCTCTCGGAAGGAGTCTACAGTGTCTGCTGTAGTCCTTGGAGCCCTCAGGAAGCGCTAGGAGCATCCAATAACGGAGGTACCCAGTCGGGGTGCCAGGTGATCCGTTACAGTGGTAGCAGCGGTGGGATGGCGTCCTAGTGTGAGGAGAAGCAACTCTGAGACACCGGTAACGTGTGGAGTTACAACTAGAGGGATAGAGATAGCTACCGTGCAGCATCCCTATCGACAGCAACATGGAGCAGGAGTTCCACTGGAGACTGCAGGAGCTCCTGTCCCTGCAGGATGGGCCTATATCAGAAGAGGCCATGATGGACTACCGGGAAACCGCCAAAAAGGAACAAATACGATGGTCCTGGTCTACTACTGGATGCAATGGAGGAGGAGCCTGATTTTGGCAGCACGGAGGATTTCTGATTTTGGGACATCCTTGACTACAGGATGGGCATGCACGATTGGCCTGTCGACTGTGCGGTGAAACCAGACATGATGCACCTGGCAACCATGGAGTGTGAACTGGAGTAGGCCTACCAACAACTGCTCTGCATGATTCAGCCCCAGTCTACGCTGCAAGCAGAGCCAGAGAACTGGGTAGCAGAACCAGGTCTAGAGACCTTCAGGTGGAAGGATATCGTAGAGGTTTACTGGGAGGAACCAAAGCCAGCAGGTAGAGATGGGACCGAGGTCTCTCTACCGGCCCTACAGGGATGCTGGGCAGTCGGCCCAGATCCCCAACCCCAGAGTGAGTGTCAGGGAGCGGAGAGCATCGACCTCCCTCCCCAACGGCAGTGTGAGTCCCCGGGAGCCGAAGGTGTTGTCCTTCCTCCCCAGCGGCAGTGTGAGTTCCAGAGAGCCGAAGGTGTCGTCCTTCCTCCCCAGCGGCAGTGTGAGTTCAAGGGAGCCGAAGGTGCCGTCCTTCCTCCCCAGCAGCAGTGTGAGTTCCAGGGAGCCAAAGGTGCCGTCCTTCCTCCCCAGCAGCAGTGTGAGTTCCAGGGAGCCAAAGGTGCCGTCCTTCCTCAACAGCGGCAGTGTGAGTTCCAGGGAGCAAAAGGTGCTGTCCTTCCTCCCCAGCGGCAGTGTGAGTTCCAGGGAGCTGAAGGTGTCGTCCTTCCTCCCCTGCAGCAGTGTGAGTTCCAGTGGGCCGAAGGTGTCGTCCTTACCCCCAGCAGCAGTGTGTCCTACAGGGAGCAGAGACAGTTGGTCTCTCTCCCCAGCAGCAGGACAATATTACGGCAGTGGAGACAGTCGGTCTCCCTCTGCAACGGCAGCTTGTGTTTCAGGGAGAGGAGCACAGCACCATCTCTCCCCAGTGGCAGAGTCTATTACAGGAAGGGGAGACAGTCGGTCCCCCTCTCCAACATCGGAGAGAGTATCAAGGAGAGGAGCCGGTTACCACCTCTTCCCAGCGGCAGCTTATTTCCCAAAGGGGAAACCTTATTCTCCCAGATGGGGCAGATGGGACCGCAGTCTCTGCACCCGGTCTACAGGGGTGCAGGGTAGCTGGTCCAGATCCCCAGCAGCAGGACTGTTTATCAAAAGGGGAGACAGTCGGTCTCCCTCTCCAGCAGCAGCACCGCGTCTGTGGAGAGGAGCCTACTCAGCGATGTCGTCTAAGTACAGCAATACCTCCATATGTGCCTTTGCCAGGTATATGTAGATGTTGAAGGGGCACATTTGAGATGCAGCCATTCCAGTTTTTTTTTTCAAACATTAAATTTTTACGCTGTTCCCATAGTCCATTTTAGAGTATTTTATCAGGCTATATATGGGGCTGCATCTCAAATGTGCCCCTTCAACATCTACATATACCTGGCAAAGGCACATATGGAGGTATTGCTGTACTTAGACGACATCGCTGGGTAGGCTCCTCTCCACAGACGCGGTGCTGCTGCTGGAGGGGGAGACCGACTGTCTCCCCTTTTGATAAAGGCTATATAATCCAAATACCCCATAAAGCCATACCATTTCTTAAAGAAGACATCCCAGGGTATTTCAAAACGCATATTTTGAACCTTAGTGTGGAATAATTTTTCCGCTAGCTTGTACCAAGTGTAGTGGTAATAAGCGTTTTTTTCTGCCTTTTTGACACACAAAGTGAGTTTGCACAGTATAATTTGCAAACCTTATGTGTGCTACGAATGTATAATACTACAAATGTTGCTCAGCTATGTTGTCTGAGTACAGCAATATCCCCGTATGTACCTTTGCGGATGTTGAAGGGGCACATTTGAGACGCAGCCATTCAGTTTTTTTCCAACTTCAAAAGCTCAATTATCTGCTGGCCAGAAATAATACAGTTTTTACAGCATTCATAACTTCTAAAATATACACCACATTCACATAAAAATTATATATTCACAATCAATCCATTCAGGGACACAACATATCAAAAAATGGCATGAATTAGACCAGGGGTTCAGAAGTTAGTAAAGTATCTTTTGGGGCCTGGCTGGCAGCATGGATATCTGGCCCAAACTGGTTTTACAGAGCCCTCTAGCCTGGAGACAATGGGGAAAGTAATCAAATTATCCAGGGATAGAAGCAGACTCCATTGAGCACATGTTCCCAGTAAAACACAAAAGGATACAAAAATACATAACTCCTATCATACTGAATTGAACGGGCCAAATCTCCCAGGGTCCATAGTCACAGGGCAAGAGGCGGGCAAGCAGTGCTCTCCAGGCACAAGTGGCAAAGGGCACTTCGTCACAATATCTTTACCGTGGTGGACTATGCGACTCGCTACCCAGAAGTGGTGGCTCTGTCTAACATACAGGCAGATACAGTTGTCAATGCGTTAGTGCAGATATTCTCTCAAGTAGGGTTTCCTAAAGAAATTCTATCCGATAAGGGTACCCAGTTCACGGCAAGTTAACCCAACAACTGTGGCATGTTTGTAAAATTAAGTCTCTACTCAGCTCTCCCCATCACCCCCAAACTAATGGCTTATGTGAGCGTTTCAATGGAACGCTCAAACAGATGCTCAAGACCTTTACTAGTGAGTATAGGGATTGGAAGCGATTCCTGCCGCATCTCCTGTTCGCATATCGGGAGGTGCCCCAGGAATCGACAGGTTTCTCCCCCTTTGAGTTACTCTATGGGAGAAAGGTGCGATGGCCCCTGGACCTTATTAGAGAACACTGGGAGGGAGCAATCGAGAACAATGGGATCCCCATCGTACCATATGTGCTGGAGCTTAGGGACCTTATGGAGCAATTAGCTAGGACAGTCCAAGCTAACCTCCAGATGGCCCAGAGGACAAAAGGTATGGTACGATAAAGGAGCTCAGCAACAAATGTTTCACGTAGGACAGAAGGTTATGGTTCTTAAACTGGTCAGGCAGGACAAATTGCAGGCGTCCTGTCAGGGTCCGTACAAGATAATAGAAAAGCTGTGCGACACTACTTATTGTCAGTTACAGAGATAAAAGGCTGCGGAAAGCCTTTCATATTAACATGCTCAAGGAGTACCATGAAAGACCCGAGGCTGTGGCTGCTATATGTAGTCCTGCACACGAGGACCCTGACAATCTTTCCCTACTTAACCTCCAAGACAAGGGTCCCCACACTGACTTGTCAGTCCCCTTACCGCATCCCTAAGGCAGTTAATGAGGGGATGCGGAAAGAATTATCCGAAATGTTGAAGTTAGGGGTCATTATTGAGTCCTCCGACAGTCCTTGGGCTTCCCCAGTTGTTTTAGTACCCAAAAAGGACGGCACCACCAGATTTTGTGTAGATTATCGCAAGCTAAATGATAAGACCGTTGTTACGTTTGCCCCTGGTCTAGCAGGGGGGTTGATCGCTTGGAGGTCCTGGTTCCCGCTGTAGAGAGTTCGACTCTCTACAGCGGGAACCAGGACCTCCAAGCGATCAACCCCCCTGCTAGACCGGGGGCAAACGTAACAACGGTCTTATCATTTAGCTTGCGATAATCTACACAAAATCGGAGGTCTTTCGGTAGTAAGCTGCAAGTGTAGAATATCCCCAAACACGGTATAAGGATCGATATCCCGGATCCCTACAACATGAGTCGAGGCTGCAAGTTGAGGGTCAAAACGAACTGGCTTTACTGGCACACAAGATGGCAATTTATGCGATTCCTCAGGTCCAAGGACAGCCCCCTGTGGACCTGATGGAATACAGGTACAGTACAGACAGGTAACCAATTACAGTACAGTGTATCATTTGAATTAGTACCCGCCCAGCTTAGAGATAATGAGGCCAACGGTTATACAATCTAATTATCTCCAAGCGCACAAAAGACCACGTTTTATTATGTCCCAGAAAACTGTATAAAAATGCATAACTTTAACATTAATAGAGGAAAACAGCTCATTCTACCATTCATATAATGGCTCGCGTTCGGGTACATTAAAACATATGAATGGCGTTCCAATCCCACAAACAGAATGGGCTATTTCTGCCGTATAAAGTCCGTTCGGTATTTTGGATCGTTAGTCTCTGACGGCGGCCATGTTTTCAGACGGTTTAGCGGGCAGCGGGACCTCGCATCCAACTTATGGAACTAAACTCGGGTGTGAGTTCATGCGAATCTCCGCTGTCTGTCTGGTAGTGGAACTCGTTCGGTACATGAACGAGGACCACCTGGTAGCATGGTACTTGAGTTGCGGTTAACCGCAGAAACCACAGGATAATTGCCGCCACACGACCCACTGTAGGGGGACTCCGTTTGTGTGGTTGTTCAGTAGGTTCCCTTCGGTGCTTTGTGTGCGAACGTCGATCCCCCAGGCCCATCAATTAGTCTGTGGTTAACCGCAGACCGCAGCCACCTGGGTGGTTAATGGCCGCCACACTCCGCTGGTCGGGTGGTCGACCGTTCGGTACTTTGCAGGGTGACGAGGTTAAGTGGCGGCACACGCCAGCATTTGGGGGGTCTCTTGTTCGTATCACGAATGGGGTCTTTATAAGAGTTCGTGTAATCCATTCGTGTTTTCCTCGGCTTAAGCGTATAGAGTTGTAACAGTAGCAATCGGTATTAACAGTAACAAAGTCATTTCGAGTCTTTTGTAACAACCGTGACAGATGCCTACCCGATGCCCCGAGTAGATGAGCTGTTAGATCACATAGCCAGGGGACACTACTTAACTACCAGTGACCTCTGTCAAGGTTACTGGCAGATTCCCCAGGCCAAGGAAGCTATCCCCAAGTCAGCCTTTGTCACTCCGTTTGGCTTGTACCAGTTTAAGGTCATGCCCTTCGGGATGAAAAATGCCCCAGCGACGTTCCAGCACTTGGTGGATAGACTCCTTGATGGCTTCCAGGATTTGGCCTGTGCATACCTGGATGACATAGTGATCTATAGTGAGTCCTGGGAGGACAATCAGCTCATGTAGGAAGAGTATTGGATCAGATTCGGGCCGCCGGCCTGACTTTGAAACCAGAGAAGTGTAATTTTGGAAGGGCCGAGGTCCAATACCTGGGACACAAGGTGGGTTGTGGAAAACTACGGCCGGAGCCAGCCAAAGTAGAAGCCGTGTCTAACTGGCCCACACAGAGACCCGGCGGTGCCTTTTGGGCACCGCCGAGTATTACAGGCGATTTGTACAGGACGATAGCACTCTTGTTAAACCCCTGATTAACCTGACAAAGAAAAATTTACCCAGACAGGTCCTGTGGTCTCCCCACTGTGAAACAACGTTCCAGGCTCTTAAGAAAGCCCTTGTAAAGGCTCCTGTCTTGGCTGCCCCAGCCCCTAACAAACTTTTTATCGTCCATACAGACGCTTCTTTTTTCGGGCTGGGGGCAGTTTTAAACTAAGTGGGAGAAGACGGAGGGGAACATCCTGTCGCCTACATCAGCCGTAAGCACCTACCACGAGAGGTCAGTTATGCAGCCATGGAAAAGGAGTGCCTGGCTTTGGTGTGGGCATTAAAGAAACTGACTCCTTATCTCTACGGACAAGAATTAACGCTGATCCCAGATCATAATCCATTGGTGTGGCTGAACTGGGTCACAGGAGACAATGGCAGACTATTACTTTGGCGCCTGTCATTACAACCATTTAACTTCACCATCCAATATTGATCTGAGAAGCAGAATAGCAACACCGATGGCAGTGGTGACCGAGCCCGGCCTTTCAACCCGGTATGCACACCAGTGTGGCCAGCCTCTTCTCCTGGGGGGCCCAGGAGCCGGCCACCTCAGGGCCCCCCGAGGCTGGCCCTGGTGTTACCGGGCTGGTGCGCGCGAGGGAGCACTTTCCCCTGAGTGCTCTCACGTGCACCGCACTGATACCGGAGCCGGAAGTAGGGGATTAGTATGCGACGCGAGAGGGACCTGAAGAGGGAGCACACAGGGGAGTGCTCCCTCGCGCGCCTGCCCACGGGTTGACAGCATTGGACCTCAGGGAATCCCCTCAGCACTCTCAAAGGTAGATAGCCTGGGGGGAGTAAATAAAAAAAAAAAATGTGAGTGTGTGTGTTAGAGTGTCAGTGAGTGTGTTACTGTGTGCGTCAGTCAGTGAGTGTGTTAGTTTGTGTGCGTCAGTGAGTGTGTGTCTGTCAGTGAGTGTGTGTGTGTGTGTGTGTTTTAAGCACTTACCTTTCTCCAGCACCAAACTCCCTTGGCGCTTGGGATCTCTCCACCCCGATCCCCCTCTCAGCTCCGAATGTGCATGTTAGGCAAGAGCAGCATGCCCATTCAAACCGCCCATAGGAAAGCATTACTAAATGCTTTCCTATGGACGTTCAGCATCTTTTCACTGTGATTTTCACAGTGAGAATCGCGGAAGCTCCTCTAGCGGCTGAAACTGCTATTTTTTCAGCTGCAGGGTTAAAACTAGAGGGACCTGGCACCCAGACCACTTCATTGAGCTGATGTGATCTGGGTGTCTGTAGTGGTCCTTTAAGTGTATGTGTATCTGCATGCACCGGTGTACATACCGCGGTTGCAGGGGTCGCAGCCCTGCGACCAGGTGCCCGCCGCCAAGAGTAAGCGCGCAGGGGGCGGGGGGGAAGCACGGATCGGTTTTCAGACCGGGGCCCCATGGGTTGTGTGTACGCCACTGGCCGATGGGTTATCTCAGCAGACCGACATCAGTTCAGAATGGAGCCTGTTCTGGACAGCCCCAAGAAGGGGTCAATCCGTGCCTGCCAGAGTGTTCCACAAGGAGGGAGTCATGTTACAAATACTGCCAATTTGTTATGTGTCTGTTCCTTTCCTCTAAATAAACCACAAAAGTAATTCACCATGTCTTTCGTACGAACGAATGACCGACCACCCGGCCTATGGAGTGTGTCGCCTATTAGTACCCCAGAAGCGGCGGTTTGCCTTGTTAACCTTTTTCACCTCCAAACCACCAAACAAAATGCCGAACGACGAGTGTGCCACTTATTAGCCGCCCAGAAGCTGCGGTATATAAAAAAAATGCAAGTTGTTCAATAAATCAGTCTTCTTACCCTCAACTCGCAGCCTTGACTCGTGTTGTAGGGAAATGCTAATCAACAGCTCTGCTCAGAGCTACAAGAACCTTCTACACTTCCAGGGATATGGGTAGTTGCTGAAGTGGGACTCTTAACCGCTCTCCCACCTCGGAGACAAGGACAACCAGGCGGTGCAACCCTCAGCTAGCCTGGGGCAACCGTAACAATTGCAATCAAGCTTCTTTTATGCACAGACCACTATAGGGGGTCTCCATTCAACACAACACAATCCCAGGCAGGAGGGGGCTGGGTTACAGATAGCCAACTCCCGCTCTGGGAGATATCAACAGTAGGGATATACTTTCAAGCACCTTATATACAGGGGGCAAACTTTGCGGCTCGGCACCCCAGGAAGGGAAGTGGTCACATGGATTACTAGATAGCCCCGGGTCCCCTCTGGGATCCCTGCAAATAGCGGGGCTATCAGATGTACAGAGCCCGAGTAATCATTGTATAAAGTCTGGGACTCGCGGCTCTGTACATCCCCGAAATTAGTGCCATAAAGTTGCTTGGTTTAGTCCGGCAATTTCAAACTTTGCGCCTAAACCAAGCAACAACCAATCAGCTGAAAGGCGCGAAACCAAATTGCACCATTCATCTTGCCGAGAGGGAAGGAGTTTCACCACCCAAGAAGGAGAAAGGGGTGCGAATCCGTTTAAACGGACGCTCCTTCCCCGATTGGTCGACTGCGCCCTGCAGCGACCAATCAGCACTTACTCGTTCTGACCAACCAGGAGAATAGCGCAATCCCAGTTTGAATGGGCGCTCCTTCTCCCATTGATTGGCTAGGACTGACATGCTGCCAGTGGGACTCTGCAGCTGTGAGACCAACTCACAGCTCCAGAGATTCGCTGCTGGTGCGCGCCCCTCTCTCCGGTGGATATCCCCACGCAGGTATCCACTGGAGAGAGCAGTCCCCTGGGCAGCTACAAGCCTAGCCTTGCAGCTCCCAGGTGAGGGGAAATAGTGACTATAGCTCTGTTGGGAGCGGGTAGGACAATCCCCAACAAAGATCTGCGACAGTGTGTGCACGCCGTTTTGGGATATGAATACTGCCCCTGGGTGGCGTTCGGTTATACGAACTGGCGGCCACCTAGGATATGCATGCAGCTCTTGTTTCCCTTGAGGTGTGTAAGCCAAACAGAAGCCGTTCGTATGAGCTCTCCCGAACGAGTAGCAGGTAAAATACATAAATACATCACAGTTTACATGGAGAAACACAGGATACAAGGGAAAATCGTGGGAATAAACATTGGGAACACAAGATACAAGGCAAAACTATACAAACTCAGTGGGCATGGTACACAGATTTTCTTAGGTTTCTATGCCAATGATTTTCACCAAATTCTGTTTGCCTAGTGAATAAACATCTAAATTGTTCTGACTGTATTTCATGACAATTCTGTGTGGTTGGCCCTTTTTTTCCAGGCTTTTTCCATTGCACAAATTAGTTCCCTTACTTGATAAGATTTGTATTTACCAGTAACAATTCGAGAAACTTATTGAGTTTTGTTCTTTTTCTTGTCCGAGCTGCTATAAGCTGGCAAAGCTACACAATTGTATACGCTGCCATGGTCAATTGCCAGGAAAACAAAATTAAGCTTTTAGCATAAATCAATATTTCCCTGTGCTGTTAGTATTATGCTACAAGCTGCTTTGTCATCTTTCCTACGTCCTCGATTATGACACTGGATAACAACACTTGCATCCATTATTGCACAAGCATTCCTGCATCATATGCAGTCACTCTTATCCCCATGACCAGAACATGTGTCCTTTACACCATGGGTAGCCGAGGGCATACTCGTTCTAGTGGTGTCCTTAGATTACTAGAGTTTCCCTTTCTTTGGAGGCTTTCCTGGTATACACATAACTACTTTCTCTCTTCCCCATTAGCCCAGATATACTGGCACCAGGGGTATGTATATGCCCAGCACTCTGGTTCTCACTGTGTCACTGCAGTCTCCCCCAGGTCCACCCACTACTTTACGTTTGTCATCTAACGCCTTCTAATGTACAATATATACTAACTGATGTTCAGTATGGTCTTGTCTAATGATTGGGTGCACGGCCGAAGAGCTATTCCATCTTGTTATCCAGTCTGGATAAAGGTTAGGTGATATCATTTAAGAAGTTCAGGCTACTCTGTAACTAGCCATAAAATACCATATTGATGAGATAGTTCCTGGAGAAATTGACATATTGTAGGGGGATGTCTCTGGTGGCATGGAGAAGGGACAGACCCATTAGTAGGTTTAAGCCTGGATATAAAGTAAGAGACCAAGAACCCTACTCCTGTTCCACTCTAATCTTTCTCATCCCCTAAAATATGTCAATTTCTGTCTGAATAATTGCGTCACTCTAAAGAGAGAATTCAAGGTGAATTTCAAATTTAAGGCCATAGTAGCCGACCTGAAAGTGTAGATGACTTAGAGAATGGTTTCAGTTGGGCTATTTTGACCTTAAATTTGAAATTCACATTGAATTCTCACTTTGGTGAATAACCCTGTGTCTCTCTGCACCCTAAAGCTTCTTGCCTTATATGTTCCCTTATTTACATCCGTCCCTATTTTTGCCATAATTTGATTCTCCCTGCCTACTCACAGTGTGAAGGAGCAGACAATGGACGAGAGTTGTGTAGCTAAACACCATAATTTAATCACAAACTTTAATAGGCGCAATGTGCAATTACTCAGTTTGACCAAATACCATTCTATTGAGCAAATTCTTAACCCAATCTGAATTTAATTATTTAGTGTTAAAATAACCCAATAAGGACCCCGTTTTAAAAGACTTATTACAGAATAAGACAATTCGTTCATTCACACAATTAATTTACAACTCATCTCCACTCATAAATACATAGTATTTTCTCAAAGATTCAGAATGACATTTTTTAAAACAAAAATAGATGTTTTAAGAATTCCTGTCTAAGGTGGTGTTCAGTGTTTATTGATGGCGGCCGTGTCGGGATTTTCGGGGGGACCTTTGTGGATGAGTCCCCGGCTGTGAAGGTTCAGGATGGAATCTGCAATTATTTTTGCTGTTCTCTTCTGATAACCACCAGATGTTACCATTAAAATGGGAATACCTCGACTCCTGGCGATTGTGAACACAATCTCATCCCTCTTTATGATGCCCTAAACAAAGAATAGAACATAAGAAATTATTTCCCGTTTCCATTTTTCACTTATTTTTCGTAGTTTTTAGTGTTTTAGTGAATTAATCTATTTTGCTATACATTTGTGGCATTGTAATTTCATGCTTTATCACCATTACATTACTAATCGGAGAATCACAACAGCTCAGTGCAATCTATGGGTGCTGTTTTCTGTTTTGTTTTTGTTGAACTGTGTAGGAGTGTATCAAAGAGCTCCACAAAAAATATTTATGTGCAATGTGTATGAAGAAACAGCTTTAACAGCTATATCACTAGCTCTTATAAGAGCTATCCTGCTATACTCTCTGGAGTAGGGGAGGTCTACTCACTAGAAGCTGGATTCTGATCTTGGGTCCAGGGTGGGTGGAGGACAGCGACACCCCAACCAAGCTGTAACGCTGGCTGTGTGGACTACATAGAATGTGATGGCAGATAAGAACCATTCAGCCCATCTAGTCTGCCCAATTTTCTAAATACTTTCATTAGTCCCTGGCCTTATCTTATAGTTAGGATAGCCTTATGCCTATCCCACGCATGCTTAAACTCCTTTACTGTGTTAACCTCTACCACTTCAGCTGGAAGGCTATTCCATGCATCTACTACCCTCTCAGTAAAGTAATACTTCCTGATATTATTTTTAAACCTTTGTCCCTCTAATTTAAGACTATGTCCTCTTGTTGTGGTAGTTTTTCTTCTTTTAAAGCGGCACTGTCATGCCGAATCCTGTTTTTTTTTTTAACCCCCCTCCGGCCTCCACTACATCTAACTAACACCCTAGTCACCCCCAAATGCCCCTAAGCCCCCCACATTACCTATTTTTTATTCCTTATTTTCTGCCCCGATCTATATTCAGGGCGCAGCCATCTTTGTGTGGCTAGATGAAGTCCCTATACCGCGAGTAGGGGCATGTCCACTAAAACAAACAAACAAACAAAAAAAAACAACTATTGGCCCCCACCCCTACACGCCATAGAATGAGGGGGGGGAACCTACTGCCCTCCCCGTCCCCCACCCCTGCCCGGCGGGTGGGGGCCATGGTGAGAATGGGGGGGGGGACCTACTGCCCCCACCCCTGGGCGGCGGGTGGGGGCAATAATGATAATGAGGGGGGACCTACTGCCCCCACCCCTGGGCGGTGGGTGGGGGCAATAATGATAATGAGGGGGGGGGGGGACCTACTGCCCCTCCCTGCTCCCACCCCATTAGAATGAAATTCCGATCCGAATAAAGTGCCGAATTGCGTTCTAAAAGAAACGAACATACTGTTCTCATTCAGTTAGAATGCAATTCGGCAGTTTTGTGTAAAGTGACAGGAAGCATCGCGGGAACACAGAGGAAAGCTAAGGATCATGGGAAAATTGCTCTGACCAGCGGAAATGAAGCACACTTTGCTCCTCCGCTGGTCAGAGCTGGTCAAGCGGAGGAATCCTCCATAAGGCAAAGAGTCCCTACTTTGTCTTATGATTTTAAAGAAAACTAAAGAAGATAAGAAGAAAAGAAGAACAGATCCTGAGAGAGGGGGAGAAGAGGAAGAGATTGAGGAAAGGTAAGTTAGGCATGACAGTGCCGCTTTAAATATAGTCTCCTCCTTTACTGTATTGATTCCCTTTATGTATTTAAATGTTTCTATCATATCCCCCCTGTCTCGTCTTTCCTCCAAGTTATACATGTTAAGATCCTTTAGCCTTTCCTGGTAAGTTTTATCCTGCAATCCATGAACCAGTTTAGTAGCCCTTCTCTGAACCCTCTCTAAGGTATCAATATCCTTCTGAAGATACGGTCTCCAGTACTGTGTACAATACTCCAAGTGAGGTCTCACCAGTGTTCTGTACAATGGCATGAGCACTTCCCTCTTTCTACTGCTAATACCTCTCCCTATACAACCAAGCATTCTGCTAGCATTTCCTGCTGCTCTATTACATTGTCTGCCTACCTTTAAGTCATCAGAAATAATCACCCATAAATCCCTTTCCTCATATGTTGAGGTTAGGACTCTATCAAATATTCTGTACTCTGCCCTTGGGTTTTTACGTCCAAGATGCATTATCTTGCACTTATCCACATTAAATGTCAGTTGCCACAATTCTGACCATTTTTCTAGTTTACCTAAATCATTTGCCATTTGGCTTATCCCTCCTGGAACATCAACTCTGTTACATATCTTAGTATCATCAGCAAAAAGACATACCTTACCATCAAGACCTTCTGCAATATCACTAATAAAAATATTAAAGAGACTACGGTTGTTATGCTGTCTGGTGGAGTGCTTGGAAGTACTTGAACACTAGGAAGCATCGATTGGGGAGGGCTTGTGGACATTGGAGAGTTCCAGCAGGGGCTGAGAATGGCTGTAATATTTGTACCCCTCCTTCTCACACTTACTTGAGGAGAGATAGAGAGGCCTCCTAGTGGATCTCCATCCAGGATGTCTGTCCCTGCATTATAAATGATTATATCTGGCTTCATTTCATTAAGGGCCCCTTGCACGTGAGTGTCCACCTTCTGCAGATATTCCTCGTCTTCTGTACCCCAGTCCAGTTCCACTTTCCGTTTTATTGCCCCTGCACACAAATACAGCACATGCTTAACAATTAAAAAAAAGGGAATTTTATTAATTGGGTCACTAAACATTTTAATATTATAATCTGAAATACTGACCAATTAATTATTTTAGGGTAAAATGTAAGCAACAATCACTACAGCTCTCTGTAGTAGTTATGGTGCTAGGAGTCAATGGGCCCCGTCCTCCATTTCTGGGGATATTTAATATAGCCATTATATAGCCCAAAGTATGACACCCTCAGCCCAGGTTGCATTAACAACGTGAATATTATGCTTCCACACCTGTCCAACCATGGGCGGCGAGTGCTGGGGCCAAATTATCTAGGCCAAGGTTCGATAGTTCTACAACAGTGCAGTTTCCCCATTATCAGCATAGGTGAAGAGCTGGGTCACTGCTGGTTTGAGAACTGACACATAGCACTGGATTGATGCATAAAACCGCTCCATAAATAAGTTAGGTTACAGGAACCGTTTTTGGTGATGGTGGGCCACCAAGGACAAATAAAAGTGAGTCCATTTTATTTTTGGCAGAGCAGACAATATTCTGTGAGCCAGTGCTCCTGTTTTTACAGTTGCTGTTCTTACCAAGCGAATTACTTCCTCTAAATGGTGACCGCCCGAGGACTTCACTTACGCTTGGCAAAGTTATCTCCTGGGTAAATGTAGCGATTGTAAACATCCATGATGTATACTCTCTTATCATCGAGAAAATCACGTTCGTGTCCATTTCCCTAATGGAGGGAGAAGAGGGTAGATTACAATACAGTTATAAAATATATATATATATATATACATACATACATACATACATATATATATACACACACACACACACATATATAAAAATAACTTTTTTTTTTTTATTACTCTGTATAGTTATTCTTAGTCCATCACCCCTCTCAAACTCATCTCCATAATTTCCATTTCATTTACTTTCCCTCAATATCATGTCATATTCAGTTTCATCCCACTCCCATTTTAAAAGGTTACTATAGTGCCAATATTACAATGCTATATTCCTGGCACCATTTCTTCCCCTGCAAAACTCTGTTACACCAATTGGGGTTCGGGGAGGAGAGGGGTTTCGTTGCCCAATCAGGAGAAAGGGCGCAAAACCCCGTCGGAAGGCGAACGGTCGCTCCTGCTATGATTGGTGACCAGTGCCCCCGCAGTGACCAATCAGCGTTTACTCATGCACTGACTTCCACGCGGCCACCGGGTTCTGCGGCCGTGATACCGACTCACAGCTCCAGAGATTACCTGCTGATGTGCGCCACTATCTCCGGTGGAGACTCCCATGCTGAGTCTCCACCGGAGATAGCGCTCTCCTGGGCAGCCATGAGCCTAGCCTCATAGCTCCCAGATAGGGGGGTGTAGGGAGTGATCATAGCTCTGTTGGGAGCAGGTAGGATGATCACTGACATCGGGATCGAAGACAGTGTTCGTAGGCCAGTTCGGGAGACGAGTGCTCCCCTTCATAGGCGTTCAGTGATACGAAC